TGCAGGAATAGGAGAGAGCTGCAGACACTAGTGGTAGGTGGGCCGCAGTGGCTGAGGCAGGAGGAACTGCAGAGTCCCCAGCCCTGACTCAACCAGCTGATAAAGGCTTCATTGCAGCCTCCCTGGGAGCCAGCTGCCAACCCTCAGGTGCAACTGGTGGTAAAACAGACTTTGTGGAATTCTCTTTCTCCCGTGATTAAGTAGGTTTACAACCACCTCCTGCTCTCATTTGTCCCAGCCAATCCCTTGCTCAGACCTACTTTGGAACAGGCAAATAATGTCTTCTGTGTAGAGAAGCATGGCTCTGTGTGTTTGCATATAGTTCTCTCTGTATGTGTGAGCATGTGCCTGAAATCATCTCACACGTGGGTGAGGAGTATATAAAAGGGAATGTTGGTCCTTACCTGTGCATGGAAACACCTCTGCTGTGCAGTGTGTGGGAGCAAGCATGCCTGAGACCTGTATGGCCGCCTGAGGTTCATCTGGAGAACATGGATGTGCAGGAGAGGGTGGGGGTGTTTAAGTGTGCAGAGAGTGTGATGAGCATGAGTGTGTGTGTGTGTGTGTGTGTGTGTGTGTGTAATGTGTGAATGATGTGTGTATGCAACTCTGCAGCTCCAACTCTATGAATATTCATATTTGCCAAAGCAATAAAGCACAAATAGGTCCTACTGCCTCTCCTCTTGCTGTTTTTTAATCCATTCTCCACCCAGCAGCCAATGTGAGCTTTTTTTTTTTTTTTTTTTTTTTTTTTTTTTTCTCCGGTACCGGGAACCGAACTCACGACCTTGCGCTTGCCAGGCAGGCGCTTTTGCCGCTGAGCTAAATCCCCAGCCCCCAATGTGAGCTTTTAAAAATGCAAATCACATCATGTCACTCCTAGGCTAGAAATCCTCTGTGGCTTCCCACTGCATTTGGAGTAATTCAAACTGACTATGGCCTACAGCACTTGCTCCCACTCCAATCTTCCAAACTTTATGGCCTCACCCCCTCTCTTCTTGGACACACCTCGTCTCCGCCAAGTAGCCAACAGCCTTCAAGCCAGTCCCTTCTCTGGGTCCCCTTTGCTGCCAGGTGCTGTTCTGGCTCCAGGTTTCATCCCAGTGTGATGATTTTCTCAGTGGGACCTCCCCAGCCCCTCTTTAAGCCATTCCTCCAACCGAGCTCCTCAAGCACTGCATCAGCTGGTCAGAAGCAGATGCCGAACATTTAGGACTGAATGGGGCTTGGTGGGGAAGAGAATAAGGAGGAATACTGGTTGGGTAGGTGAACCAGCAGACTGTGGTGCACATCAGACAAGGTCTCTGCCAGCCTTTGAGGCATTACAAGCAAAGATAAAAGAGTTCTGAAAAAAAAAAATACAATAGTCTTGATTTGAATGGAAGTGGCTAGACTCTGTGCCACATTGTGGCTTGGTCAAGGATTACAGTCACCATCTCAAAGGCTGAGTTCAAGAGAATGAACAGACAAGCCATATATTAGGAGAAAAGATTTGTAAAGGAAGCATCTGATAAAAAAAAAAAACAAAACAAAATAAACTGATATCCAAAATATGCAAAGAACACTTAAAATTCAACAAGAAAATGAAATCTGGGCATAGTGGCACACACCTGTAATCTCAGCACTGAGAAGGCTGAAGCAGGAGGATTGCTGCAAGTCTGAGGCAGTCTGGCTGCAGAGTGAGTTCAAGGCCAGCCTGAAATATTTTAGTGAGACCCTGTCTCAAACAAACAAATAAATAAGCAAACAACAAAAACAAAACAAAAAAGAAAGAAAAAAATTAACAACCAGATAAAAAAATTAACAACCAGATTAAAAAATGAAGACAGCCCACCAAAGGAGATATATACTTGTACATGGTAAGTATCTGAAAAGATATTCAACATCACGTCACCATGGAAATGCAAATTAAAACAGCATTGAAAGACTGGGATGTCAGTCAGTGCTACAGAATTTACCTCGTATGAGCAAAGTTCTAGGTTCTATCCCTGACACTGTAAAGCAGTAACAAAGGCATGGGAGCTGGTGCACTTGCTTAGTATGCGTGAGGCCCTAGGTTTGATGTCTAACACCAAACAGATGAACCCAACTCTGCCGAACAACAACAGTATTGAAATCCAACTGCACACCTATGAGAATGGGTGAGAGCAGCACCTGACAGCACCAAACGCTGGTGAGGATGTGGAGCAACAGGAACGCTCATTCATTGCTGGTGGAAACGCAAACGGTACAAACTCTCTGGAAGACAGTTTGGTGGTTTCTTCCAAAACTAAAATACTCTCCTTAGTATTTGCCCAAATTGAAAACTTCAGTCCCTACAAAAGCCAGCAGATAGATGTTTACAGCAGCCTTATTTATAACTGACAAAATTTGGAAGCAACCAAAGTGTCCTCAGTAAGTGAATGGACAAATAAACTGTAGTTATACAGCCAGACAATACAATATTATTCAGTGCCAAAAAGAAATGAGCAATCAAGTTATGCAAAGACATGAAGGAAACTTAAATGCATAATAGTAAGTGAAAGAAGCCAAACTGAAAAGGTTCCATACTATATTATTTCAACTATGTGATATCCTGGAAAAAGTATAACTATGAAGACAGTAAAATGATCAGTGGTTGCTGAGCACACAGAAGATTTTCAGGGCAACAAAACCATTCTGAGGATACTACAGTGGTGGATACTTGTCATTATGCATCTGTCCAAACCCACAGAACAGACAATGGTAAGAGAGCATCCTCCATCCTCCTGTGCACTGTGGACTTTCAGTGATTACAGTGTATCAGTGTAAGTTTATTGATTGCAACACAGGTGCCACTTTGGGATGGGATGTTGATGCTAGAGCAGCCAGAGGCATGTGTGGGGATGCGGGTGTGAGGGTGGAGGTGGGGGTGGGAGATCTCTCTACCTCCTGCGCCGTTTTGCTGTGAACCTAAACTGCTTGAAGTTCATTTAGAAAAAAGAAGAAAAGCCGGGCCTGGTGGTGCATACCTGTAATCCCAGCACTCGAGACAACTGAGGTAGGAGAATGGCCTCAAGTTCAAGGCCAGCCTGGGCTACAAAGTGAGCTCAAGGCTGTCTGAACTGCATAGCAAGACCCTGTCTCAAAAAGATGAAAAAAGAAAAAAAAGGAAGGGGAAGGGAAGAGGAAGGAAGTGAAGGAAGGAGGAGGAAAGGCAAAAAAGGAGGCTTGGGATAGTCCCTCTGGGTTCTCTGGCTCCCTCTCCCCATCCTGATTCTTCCTTTCCACTGCCCCAGCGTCTGGTTTCCCAGCAGGGACTGTGTTCACTACCTTGTCTGCCTGCCTTCCTTTTCTTCTTGGTTTGCTGGATACTTTTGTTTTTTGTTTTTTTGGGGGGAGGTTGGTTTTCCAGTACCAGGAATCGAACTCACAACCTTGCGCTTGCCAGGAAGGCACTGTGCCACTGAGCTAAACCCCCTTTGCTGGATACTTTGTTAAAGATTTTCCAGCTTAGGGGCCAGCCTGACTGGAACTTTCAGGGTCTCTGGTTCCTTTTCCAACCTTGTAACTCCTCCACCCGCCAGCTTCTTGCCAGCCCCTGGTCTTCTAGAAAGTATCTTACAATCAAACAATAGCTACGATCTGTTCTGCAAGCCCTGTCCTGGTATAAATACGTACCCTGACACCCAGCAGGGGAGAAAGAAATTGAAGATTGAAGAGAGAAGAAGATCCTGGATAACTCATTAACACTACCTCCAACCAGGCTTAATCTGGCCTCCTTTGGAGTCAGACAGAAGCAGAGGAAAAACATCTTCCCTCCCCTCACTCTGGGAGTGAAGCTGTCAGGTGGAACAGACTTGAGGGGCACCCATCGACTGTGCACCCCACTTCCATTCCCCAGGCCTTTATTAAGACTTTTAGAGGCATTAAGCTCTAAATAGATTGGGTATCTCCACCCTCGCCAGTAGTGCAAAAGAAAATCAATACTAAGCCATGAGTAAGTGTGAAGAAGTCCTTCAGCGCTTTGAATTACTCCATGAATGACCACTTCAAAGTCTTTTATTTTCTGAAATATCCAATATAAAATTCTGGGATGATTTTCTCCTTCTTTACTGATGCCCTCTGTATGGGTTTGGTATGCCCCCAGCTCTCATCCCTCCAGCTAGTTTCCAGCCCTGCCCTGGGGTTCTCAAAGGGTGTTCCAAGGCTGACCTTGAGGACCTACAGGATCAGAGTCAAGTTCTTTCTCACCACGTGTAGTGGGCTTGCTTCATGCAGGGAGCAGCTGACCAGGAATGAGATAAAAGGGAGAAGGGAGGGCAGAGCCTGCCTGGGCTTTGGGAAAGGGCCTTAGTGAAGGCAGTTCAGTTTGGGAAATAAGACTTGAATGAAATAAATAGCTACCAGGGGTCCACGCGGTAAGCAAAACACAAGTTGGCTGGAATGACAGGCCAACACGGCGGTCTCGTCGTCCGGTGGCCTCGGGCTCTTCTGATCTTGCAGTAGCACAGGTGGAGGAACAGAATGGTGCAGTGTCTGCTTGCTGCTGGTCACTCATTCAAGTGCACTCCATCCTGTAAGTGCGGAGGGTCACCCCCACACCACAGATGGGCAAACCAAGGCCAAGGCCAAGGCCAGAGCACAGAGGAGCCCGAACCGCTCCCCAGGTTAGTGCTGAGAGTTGGCTCACAGTGAGTCCGGGGGCCAGAGCCAGGGCTCCTCAATCCTGTTTTATAGCGCAGCTCCTGGGGCTGGAGAGGAAGGCACTGATGTCACCACTGCATATTTTGTCCTACTGTGTGCTAGGCAGGAATGTAAATTCTTCAAGCATGTCATCTCACCCACACAGCCCCACATCCTTGTGAGGTGTGGGCATTTTTGGCCCCATCTTTTTTTTTATTGTCTTTTTTGAGACAGGGTCTCACTGTGCAGTTCAGGCTGGCCTTGAGCTCACTTTGTAGCCCAGGCTGATCTTGAACTCTCAATGATCCTCCTGCCTCAGCTTCCCGAGTGTGGGATTACAGGCTGGGATTGCACCATTCCTGGTTTGACCCCATCTTATAGATAACCTCTGAAAGGCAAAGGGATTTGCCCAAGGCAGGAGCATGGTAGGGACTTCCAGGCTTTCTAGAAGTGAAGCATCAGGAGTGCAGAGCCTGTCTGGCTCCCAGCTCTCACTCAGGTCGCAGCATCTGGCCCAGTGACTGTGCTGTCAGCAGGCAATGCCTGCCTGGTGAGTGAATGATGATGGATTGATTGGTTTTGGCCTCAGATCTCCACTCTCCTGGTTTTTCCCTAGTCCAGGTTACTGCCGGCTGAAAGCAAGAGCTCTGGGCCTTCCTGGTAGAAAAGTCTCCCTCAACAGAGCTTGTGGGACCCCTGGGGTGAGAGGTAGAGCCAAGGCCTCCTGGCCTCTGCCCATTCAGGAAACCCTGCCTGCACCCCTGCGCAGCACAGCTACTGCTGAGGGCCACGTGCAGTCCCAGAAGCTGGGAGGCTTTCACCGCAGAATAAACATATGGGCTGTACATCCATCCACTGATTCAGAAGATCCTGCTGTGCTGGCTTCCCTGTCCCCAATCCTTGCTGTTGCTATGGCAACCGGCCTTCCACCAAACCGGAGCTTGCTGAGGGCATCCCAATTAACCCCTTCCTGCACGGCAGGGCCTTCAGTATGTCTGTCCACGTGGTGGCCTGAGTATCAACCCTCTGATGCCCAGAGACCCAAGAGACAGGGAACAAGAGGTCATCAGAGAGAGGCAGGGTGGCATGGCGAGAAGATGCTCAGGCTGTGGAGCTCAGAGGTCTGGGTTGAAGCTGGGTTTGGTAGTTTATGCCTATAATCCCAGTACTCAGGAGGATCAGGTTAGGAGGATCGCCGTTGAGTCCAGCCTGGGCTACCTAGTGAGACCCTGTCTCAGAAAACAAAAACAAAAACAAAAACAAAAGAACAGATAAACAAACAAAGATCTGGGTTGAATTCTTGGGTCAGCTGTGTGAACCTGGATACTCCAGGAAATTTTCAAGCCTCAGTTTGCTCTCCTGCAGTATGGACATAATCATGTGAGCACACATAGTGCTGCTGTGAAGATGGGCTAGGGAATGCCTGGTAACACCTAGGGAACTTGTGGCACACAGCTAGCACCAGTAACTTCCGACAGGGCTTATGATGTCGCAGAGGAGGGCCCGGGTGACACGTTGTATATACAGATCCAGTCCACTCCTGTCAGGCAGGGCCTCCGGCCTGTCAAGGGAGAGCCTGTCATCCAAAGACAGAGAGCTGGGATTCATCTGGAAAAGCAGCCCACAGCCAGGCAGACGGCATCCCTGGAGCTTGCCCCTGGAGGCCCCACCACGCAGCCCATTCGTTCTATCCCCAGACTTGGGCCTCTGCAGCCCCGCCAGGCTCTGGACTCCCAGAGTGAGAAGTGTGTCCAGAAACCAAGACAGCAAGAGGCTAAAGGAGTGGGGCAAATGAGAATGTGTCCAAGAGGGGAAGAGGGCAAAGGTGGCACTGGGCCTGGATTATCCGGATTCACCTGGCAGCCGGTGGGTACGGGGCTGCCTCTGTCACGTCCCATCACTGTCGATCCAAGGGCCGGGGATATAGCTCAGTGGCACAAGCACCTGCCTGGCAAGTGCAAGGTCCTGAGTTCGATTCCTGGTATCAATCAATCAATCAATCAATAAATCAATAAGTGGTGTTTCACTGTCAATCCAGTCAAGCAAAGGGCCCTGGGTAGGTGACAGAAGTCAATCAGACAAGGCAGTATTAATGGCTCCCTTTTGTTGATGGCCACAAGGAAGGCAGAGGCCACATGCTCCCATCCGTGGCTGCAAAGGCTGTGATGGCTTCCCTCCTGCGTCCTGGCCTCTGCCACCTGTCAGCTCACTTTGCACTCACGTGTCCCAGACGCTCCGTCTTTCTTGTTTCTTTTTTTTTGGTCTTTCTTGTTTCTCAAATGACTTGCTCTCCCTCCACCCAAGGCACACACGGGACAGGTGCCTTTACCTGATATATTCATCCTCTCTTGGACCAACTGTTGCTGTAGCTCATCAGTTGTATGATACAGTTTATAAAAAATGAAACTTGGGCCTGGGTTCCTGTTGCAGAGGAGGAGCTGGGTGACATGGTGTGTATACGACCCAGCCCACGTCTGCTATACAAAACTTTTAATTTGAAATAATTTCAAACTATGTAAAGGTTCCAACCTCCTCCCAAAAAACTGTGCAGAGAATCTCCACATTCCCTTCACTCGGTTTCCCCAAATGTTAACTGTTTACCATGCTTGCCTTTGTACTGGTGTGCGGGAGCCCAGAGCTCTCTGTCTGCATTTCGTCCCAACTCCCTCTTCAGAGAACACATGGTGCTAGCTTGAAACTCGCGGCAGATGAGAGTGTTTACCCCACAGACATGGGTATCAGGACATTTTCCCTTGAGAGTTGGCGGCTAAAGTGTTGATGGCTAAAGCTAAAATAGCACAACACAATTTTATCAATCTTTCTTTTAAATCAACATCTCTATATGCATCAGGGTGGGTGCGTATTCTAATTTTTTTTTTTGAACTGTTTGAGAGTAGGTGACAAATACGCCCCTTTATCCCTAAATAATCTCTGTATATTTCTCAGAAACAAGGGCATTCTTTAGCTAGGAGTATAGTAGTACACTTGCCTAGCAGGTATGAAGCCCTGGGATCCCTCTGAAGGACCACAAAAACAATAACAAATGACATTCTCTTATAGAATAACTACCAGGTAGTCATCAAAATCAGAAAATTAAGCTGGGCATGGTGGTGCACGCCTGTAATCCCAGCACTCAGGAGGCTGAAGCAGGAGGATCGTTGCGAGTTCAAGACTAGCCTGGGCAACAAAGTGAGCTCAAGGCCAGCCTGAACTACATAGTGAGACCCTGTCCCAAAAAAGACCAAAAAAAAAAATCCCCAAATCAGAAAATTAGCATGGCTACGAGTTCGACTGTCTGATGTATAGACCTTATTGAAATGTCTCCAGCTCCTTACTAACGTCTTTTATAGAGAAAAAAAAAAAAGAGTTTTCTGGTTCAGGACTCAAACAACATATCCACTGCATTCAGTGCCCCCATCTCCTTGGAATCATTTCATCTGGTATATTTCGTCTTTCTTTGTCTTGCAAGACCTTGACATTTTTGCAATGGCAGACCACTGATTCTGTGTAACACACACTCGTGATTAGATTCAGGTTGTGCAATTCCAGGTGTAGGGACAGCACAGCAGTGCTGCTGTGGTCTCCTCAGTACACCGGTGTCATGAGGTGCCCCATGTTGATTTGTCCCATCATCAGTTCTGGAACTTGAACTGCGTCGTGTTTGCTAGCTAGATTCAGTTTTCCTCACTTTGTACTTGGCAAGGTGTGTGTGTGTGTGTGTGTGTGTGTGTGTGTGTTTTGCCATACAGAGGATTAAACCCTGGGCCTCACCATACACAGGATGCTAGACAAGCCCCCAACTACTAAGCTATATCCCCAGCTTTTTCTCTTGGATTTTACTCTATTCTCATCTCTGTAATTATAGGTCCTTTGTTTTAAGAAGGAAACTCCTCTGGGGCTGAAGAAAGTGTAAACGAGCTCTTTCAGTAAGCGCAGAGTAACATTTCGGCAGGGAAGAAGCTGCCATCTCACAGCAGTTAATAGACTGAGATTTTCTTTCTCGGTGTTATCTAAAATAATAGCATGGACAATCAATAACATTGTCGATTCCATGAAATAGATCACACCTAGTTATCCTTCAAAACTGAACTTGTGGGGCTGGGTATATAGTTCAGCAGCACAGTGCCTGCCTGGTACGCCCAAGGTCTCGAGTTCTGTTCCCAGTACTCCAACACAAACAAACAAGCAAAAACAGAGCTCACTGGGGCTGGGGCTCAGTGGTGCAGCCCCTGACTAGTACGTATACTGGGTTCAGTACCCAGCACCACAAAAAGAGATTAAATAAAACAAAAAAGATTAAATAGAAAAACAGACTGAGCTCACACACTACCTCATGAGGACTTTTCCTTTGTAACACTAAATACAATTGGTTTGGAAGACTTGGGTCACTACTGGCTTCTACCTGCCTGAACGCCCGCAGCACTTAGCCCCGCCTCCCCATCTTGACTTCTCACTGTGTTCTCCGTGCCTGGCTCAGGTCGGTGCTCCAGAAAGGCAGTGCAATAAATGAGTGGATTAACTCAGTCTTCATAACAAGCCTGCAAGCACAGATGACTCCCCTTGCTTTACAGATGGGGAAACTGAGGCTCCACAAGCCAGGGTATGCTCAACATTGCTCCAGCAGTAAGAGGTGGAATGTAGATTCAAGTTGAGATGTGCCAGATCCCAGCACCTATGGGAAGTGTTTCAGTGGAGAAGATGGTTTGGGTGGAGAACTGAACCGAGCTTTTGGTCTCACGGTGAGTTTGGTCCCCCGAGGAGTGTCTACATCCTTAGAACTGGGACAGCACAAACGTGATGCAGGAGAGGGTACAGAACAGGGCAGATGCTGCAAAACCAGCCTGCAGGTGTGGCAGCCGCTCAGCTCATTCTTTGTCCCCCTAAGGTATGGGGCACAGCCTGGACTGCCCTCCTCCATGCCCCAGGGCCAGGCAGAAGGCAGGCAGAGGTCAGGGGCAGGGCTTCATCTGGCCCCTGCCGAGCCCCAGGGTCAGCCCATCCTAGCTCTGCCTGCCTGGCCCTGAGCTCTGCCATGGCTCCTTCGGTGGCAGGGCCCACTTCTCTCAGGATTTCTGCATCTAATCCCCCCTGCCTCCCCGTTGCCCCTCACTTCTGCTTGCTAGATGGGGAGACCGAGCCTGAGAGGGCTTAAAAGCTTACCAGAAGGTAACACCCTCTTTTCACCTGGCCAAAAGGTGGATTGGAAGCAGTGGTGGCACGGATTTCTCTGCCCGCTTTGGGTGACCAGGTGACCAGTAGCCACCTCCCCCAGCCTTAGGGTTTCCCAAGGGTACTTCCAGGTGCTTCCCACTCCAAAGGCAGGCAGACAGGCTGTCCACCTGGTCTGTGGAAGTCCAGTCTGGGCCAGGCAGGGGATTGGCCTTTGGTGAGATGAGGAGCACACCTTTGGTGGTGATGTGAGAGAAGCTAAGATTATCTGCTCCTCTAACCAGAAATACCGCGCATTACTCTTCCCATTCACACTTTCATACAGCAGTAAGTGTCACAGCAGCCTGTGAGGTGAGTGTTGTCATTTCCTCATTTTACAGATGAGGACAGAGAGACACAGGGTCAAGCTCTGGAATGTGAACTTGAGGGCAGGTCCCTAGCCACTGCACTACACTGCCTCAAATTCCTCCCTTGGGGGCTGAGGATTTAGCTCAGCAGCACACAGCACAGCACTTGCCTGGCAAGCGCGACGTCGTGAGTTCAATTCCCAGTACCGGAAAAAAAAAACCCCAAAAACCCAAAAAAACAAAAAGAAAAATTCCTCCCTCAGCAATCCATATTCCCTCCCTCCTTCCTTCCTCCCTTCCTTTCTTTGTTCCTTCCCTCCTTCCCTCTCTCCCTCCTCCCCTCTTTCCCTGCTTTCCTTCCTTCTTTCCCTCCCACCACAAAATCTAAGAAGAGGTCAAAGCTGGGGAGATAGCTCAGCAGCACAGTGCCTGCCTGGCAAGCACAAGGTCCTGAGTTCGATTCCCAGTAGCAAAAAAAGGATGAAGTGACCAAAAAGACCCTTCTCTTCACACATCTCCCACCTGACTGCCTGCTGTAGGGCTCTGTGCTAGGGACACGGGGCATGCGGTTGGAGGTTGGCCCTTTGATAAACAAAGGTTGGAAAGGGCTGAGAATGGGCAGGGAGGGGATCTGCTCAGTAAAGCCTGTCACCTGTCCTCACTCCAACATCTGCTCCTGGGGAGGAGGGCGGCAGCTGACAGGAGGGAGTAGGGCAGTGGGGGCAGAAGCTGGCCCTGGCAGGATCCTCACTGTCCCAGGCTAGCCTGGAGCAGCCAGATTCTTGCAGGTGAGAAGGGCCACAGGTGCCTCCAGAGCACCCCCAGGAACTCAGACACACCTGGGGCTCCAGGGGCGATGGAACAGCAAGGACAGTGCCCCACCTGCTCTCTCTCAGGACCAAGGGCCTTGCTTCAGGTGTGTTGGGGAGAGGGCTCAAGCATCTAGCAGTGCAGAGGCCAATGTGCTTGTTAAAGACAGCTTTAAAAGCCATGCCTGTAATCCCAGCACGCTGGGAGGCCAAGACAGGAGAGTCACAAATTCTAGCCTGCACTCTCCTGCAACCTGATGTATCTGCAGATGAGCAGATACATCTCCCCCACCCCCTGCCCACTGGGGGTGCGCAAACCATGGTCCTATCTGCATTTGTGCCCTCGTGTGTACACACATGCATGTACCCATCCATGTAAACATGTGCACACACATGCATAAGGAGTCTGTCACCAAGCAGGTGACAGGAAGCATACCCTGTGGCCTGAATATTGATGTTCTCTTAAATTCATGTGTTCACTGCCAGGTGTGGTGGTGCATGCCTGTAATCCCAGCACTTGGGAGGCTGAGGCAGGAGGATCATTGCGAGCTGAAGGCCAGCCTGAACTGCAGAGTGAGATGAGACCCTGTCTCAAAAAAAAAAAAAAAAAAAAAGATGAAAAAAAAAAATCCTCATGTTGAAATTCCAGCCCCCAGGGTGATGCTGTGAGGAACTGGGGCTTTTGGGGGATGACCAAGTTATGGTGGTACAGCCTTGATGAATGGGATCTGTGCCCTTATAAAAGAGGTCTAAAAATCCCAGCCCTCCGGAGGCTGAGGCAGGAAGATTGCAAATTCGGGGCCGGCCTCAGCTACATGGGGAGTCCAAGGCTGGCTTAAACTACGCAGTGAGGCCCTGTCTCAAAAAATAATCAGCCGGGCATGGTGGCACAAGCTTGTAATCCTAGCACTCCGGGAGACCAAGGATCACAGTTTCAGCCTGGGCCACTCAGCACCATCTCCAAAATGCAATGGTTTAGTCCTCAGTGCCACAGACATTAAATAAATGAATAAATGAATAAAGCCCAAGGGACGGAGCATTCCCCATTCCCAGTGTCTAGGGATGCAGCAAATAAGCACCATCTCTGACTGGATAATCAGCCCTCACCAGCCACTGAGTGTGCGGGACTCCGATCTTCGCCTTCCCAGCCTCCGAAGCTGTGATCAGCCTTTGTTGCACATAAGCCACCCGACTCATGATGCTGGGTTGTAGCAGTCCAAACGGACCGAGACAGCACATCATTATCACCAGTCATCTCCCGCTGGGGCGCAGACACCGGCAGAGTGTCTTGTGTGACTCTAAGGCAGAGCTACGCTTTACTTCTCCCCCCCAATGGTCTCCAGCATCTCCCTGAAGCCTCTCCTGTGGAGACATGTGGCCTGCAGAGGTGACAGGTATCAGGGCAGAGGCTGGCTCTTAGGAGGAAGGGCTAACTAGGTTGGGTCTGAATCCCTAACTCAGAAGCTCCCTCGCCTATAACTTTCACACAGCTGCTCCCTTGGCCAGGCAGCTGGGCCACCCCAGACAAAGCTCAGAGCTGTGACAACAGCTGTACGGTTGCCTTGGAAAGCCTTCTCCAGAGAGCAGCTCTGGGCATGGGCACAGCCTATCCTTCATATGGTTGCACACCATGGAATGGGGTGGGAGGGAAGGGGAAGGAAGGGACCTGGTGGAGGAGGCAGAGCGGGGCAGGGGGATGGGCTGCAGGCAGGGGTGTGAGGGAAGGCTCCATGTGGTACCAATGGAATCTGGCAGGATGGTGGATCACCAGTGGTTACCGTCAGATTAGAACTCAGGCCCCCAGCCCTATCTGTCTTCTCCGAACATCACTCAAAACCCAAGACTCCTTGTGTCTGGGGCATTTGGGTGGGAAAACTCTTTAAGGAATTTAGGAAAGCTGTGTCCCCTGGCAGGAGACTCCTACACACAGTTTAGCTACTAAAGCCCAGACCTCCCCACCCCTTCTCCAAGATTCTGTGTTAGGAACCTCACTTCAGGGCGAGCAGTGAAGTAGTTTATGAGTCAGGATGCTGGCGAAAACCAGACTCCGGCCTCTGGAGAGAGATGTGTGAACCTTCTGGGCAGAGCAGAATTCAGCTGCTGCTGTTGAACATTTGCTCTCCACAGTGCCTCCTCTGGACCTGGCCGCCCCCTTGGCTGTCATTCCCACCTCCCTCCCTTCATGCCCGCCCTCTCCTCTGCCCCCCTCCCCCGGCCAGTGGCACCCATCCTGACCAGAGCCCACACCCCTGGGAGAACTTACCCAGCATAGGCAGAGGATGGGCTGATCCTGGAAGGAGCAGGTGGCCTGGAATCTGGTTATTTCTAAGGCTTTCCAGGTCTCTCTGCAACAATGCTAGGTAGACAGTTTGGCCCTGAGGCCCAAGGCCATTTGCTTCCCCTGTGCCCAGAGCTGATGTATAGAGAGGTGGACTGGGTCCTTCTGAGGAGGACAGGACCTTGAAACCCTGTTAGAGACAGGCCGGGCACTGCTCACTGCTCAGCTGTGGGGAAAGGGACCTGCCCTGTCCCTCTCCAGGCCTCCTCAGAACTCTGTTACTTACCTGAAGGCTGAGTTCACGGAAGAAAAGGCGGGGGAAATAGGTCTGGGGCTTCCCTGATTGCCCAAATCAAACCAAGTCATCAGTTCCTCCCAGGGCTTCCACAAGAACTTCCTTTTGATTCACTTTGCGGCCTGACTCATCAAACTTAGATTGGAAACGACCTTGAGCTGGCTGACTCATTCCGCTGCCAGCAGGCCTCCATCCACACAGCCTGCATGTGCACACCTCAGCCTCCGGCCAGAAGCCCAATGTCTGGGGCCACCTGCAGGTGGCCTGAGGCTCCTGGAGGATAAGGGGACACAGGGGCCCTCGGACCTCCAGCCTGTGCCAAGGCCCTGGCCACTGAGGGCTTTCACCTAGAGGAGCCAAGGAACGGCTTGTCCATCCTGCTCCCAGAATCTCCAACCAGAAACCTTGCAGCAAGATTCTGGGCAACCAGCCCTGTTTGTGGGTGTGCAGGACCCATCGGGCTCTGCCTGGGAAGGGTTGTCGGGCCCTTTCCTCCTGTGTGCAGTATGAGAAAGACTTCATCAAAAGGCACAAATCGCCCAGTGGCGATTCTGATTTTCCCCATGATGAATGTTTTTGGTGTCCTGCTTTGCTGGTGGTGTCAGCCTCTGTTCCTCTGTGTACTGGGGAGCCCAGCTCTGCATGGATCCCCAGAACTGCCCAGTAGGTCTCTACAAGGCTGCATCCACAACCTCAGCACTCGGTTAACATAAACCCAAAGCCCCAGGACACAACCTGGGAGTCAGCATTTGGTAGATGTCCCCAGCTAATTCCAGTGTGCCCTCCAGGCTGAGAACCACTGATAGACACAGCAGCTTTCCTGATGGACCGCCTCTATGTGCAGATAACAAAAGCAGGACTCAGACACAGAAACTGTAAGGGACAGGTGGCACCTGGATGCAGGCTCTCACTGCACAAGACCAGCTCCACAGCCTCACCGACTCCGAAAATGCTCTCACTGCAGTGAGCGAGCGCATGCAGGAAAGAGCAAGAAGTACTACCCGGCTGGCCAGCTGGCTCCAGAGGCTGTGCGCTGGAGTCTGAGCAGGCCACAGCTGCTTCTGTTTTAGGACAGGCGCAAGCAAGGGCTCCTCCGCCTGCTGCCTCCTCCTGGGAGCAGACAGCAGCCCGTGCGAGTCAGGAGCAGGATTAGGGAGGGATTAGTACATGTGGTTTGGAGGGGCTCTGGACTCTTGCAGCCAGCTCTGGAGTCTGAGGCCCAAACATAACAAAGGGAGCAAGGAGCAGGCAAGACTGGATAGAAGCGGGGTACACGGGACAGTGGTCAGTGTGATGCTTGCTTGGGTCCTGTGAAGTTCATGTAGTAATTACTAATTTTTTTTTTTTTTAGTGATTACTAAATTCTTAAAAGTTTACTTTTTTTTCATTTTTAGTTAGTTTTTCTTTTTCTTTCTTTTTTATTTTTAGACAGAGTCTCATTATGTAGTTTAGGCTGGTCTTAAACTCACTGTGTAGCTCAGGCCAGCTTTGAACTTGCAGCAATCCTTCAGCCTCGGCCTCCTGAATGTTCAGATTAAAAGTGTGCACCACTACAGCTGGCTCAAGTTTACTTTTTTTCTCTCTCTTTTTGAGACAGGGTCTGGCTATGCAATTCAGGCTGGCCTTGAGCTCACTTTGTAGCCCAGGCTGGTCTCGAACTCAAAACGATGCTCCCACCTCAGCAGGGATGGGGTGCTGGGATTATAGGCGTGCGCCACCACATCCAGCTTCAAGTTTACTTTTAAAAGGGATTCTCTTTTTTCTTTTTTGTTCGTGTGTGTGTGTGTGTGTGTGTGTGTGTGTGTGCACGTGCTGGGGATTAAAGCTAGAGGCTTGCACACACAAAGCATATGCTGTACTGCACTACCACTGAGCTGTACTGCTCCCCTGAAACGTATTCTTGTAGTAAAACTGTGGACAAAATTCAAGTTTATAGATGAAAATGAAACAGTCTCGCTCTTCCTACTTGTTCCTTAATTCTACTTCCCATTAGCATAGCATTTTGGTGTATATACTTTCGGGCTGTTTTCTATGTACATATGTTGTCTACGTTGTTCTTTTTTTTTTTTTTTAACATTGCTCTTTTGTTTTAAAAATCTTGGCTTGCCCAGCTTGATGGTGAAAGTTTGTAATCCCAGTGTTTTGGGAGGCTGAGGCAGGAAGATAGCTGTGAATTTGAGGCTAACCTGGGCTACATAGTGAGTTCAAGGTCAGCCTGCACTGCATAATGAGACCCTGTCTGAAAAAAAATCTTGGCACAGGGGAATATCTCAGTGGCACAGCACTTGCTTAGGCTGCATGAGGCCCTGGGTTTAATGCCCAGGGCTGCAAAAATAAAACAAGCCAAATGCAACTTCTCCTGTGTGCCCACGGCCACAAGTGCAAGTGAGAGCTACTTATTTCTTGTGACAGGGACAGATTTCCATTTGTTTCTGTAGGATGCCTCCTAAAAGCAGGGTGGTTAGTTCTTCAGGGGGGTAGATTTCACCACACGAGCCCCCAAATGCTTTCCTTCATCCTACCCACGCACCTTGGGCCTCAGGACCTCCTCCTCAGCAGGTATCCCTGACCCTTTACTTTCCCCTTTGCTAATGCATGGGGAGTGTAAACAGAGTTTAAAGAAAGTGTAAACAGTGCTTAAACAAAATGCAATCCTGGGGGCTCCTGGGCCTCCTGTTTCCTGTTTTCCCAGAGGAGATAAAGGGGGGGGGATTTCTGGCTGTCAATATGCAAACAGAGAAAAGTGCGTGTGTGTGGAGGGGGGCGGGGACGGGACGAGGACACCCCTGGCAGGGGCATGAAGAGGTTTATTCAATGAATCCCAGCTTAGGCAGGGAGCCAGAGTGGGGGACAATGGCACAGGCAAGGGTGTGTGGGCGTGGCCGCCTGAAACTGAACCGCCCGGTATGAATACCATCCCAGGACTTGCTAGCTGTGTGACTGTGCGCAGGTTGTGTCACCCCGAGGGTCTCTGTCCCTCTCCCCTCACTGGGGTGCTAGAAGTGATCTTTCTCAGCTCCCAGTCTAAGGAGGGAATGAATTGATTCCTGCTGAGCAGCTGGGCATGGTGACACGCATCCAGAATTCCAGCACTCAGCAGGCTGAGGCAGGAGGATCTCCAGGAGTTCAAGGCCAGCTTTAACTGCATAGCAAGACCCTGTCTCAACCACCCCCACCAAAAAAGACCCACACACTCTTCTCTGCTTCCCCGCTCAGGGTAACCGTTATGAGAGCTGGGTGTGCACGACTCCAAACTTTGGGGACCACCTAAACACATGGACTGGTATGTGCACGCAGTTTTGTGATGTGACAGTTAAAACCTACCTTAGGGGGCTGGGGATTTAAGTCAGAGGCACAGCACCCGCCTGGCAAGCGCAAGGTCATGAGTTCAATTCCCAGGACAGGAAAAAAATAAAATAAAATTTAAAAAAACCTACCTTAAACAAAATGGAGTTTGAAGGCCCAGTGACCACAAAAGTCTTGCTACAATTCCAACTTAGATTATCCTGACCTGGCCACTCAGGATCCCCGGAGACTTGGTGTTCACCTCTTTTCCGTCTTGTGACTTGTGCACCTTTTCTCTGGATTCTACACGTTTGCTCCCCTCTCCCTCCAGTTTAACCTCTTTCCTCATGGAACAAAAAAGCTGCCACAATTCTGGACCTCCATTCTCACACATGTCATCCCAGGGAAGGAAGGAATCCTCTGAAGCTTGGAAGGTTCTAATTGTTCATCTGCCAGTTGGTAGCTCTGTGGCCTTGGCTGTGCTCTGCTTCTTTGTAAAATTAGGACATTGAGCTAGAAGATCTCAACAGTCTCAGATTCTTTTCCAGTCTTAGAGCTGACTCCAAGACTGACAGCAGTGCAGCCCCAAGAGGCAGCTTAGCAGCCAGATCCGGAAACAGGGAGAGGAGGGTCCTTCTGCGCTCCCCTCCGGGTGGGAGGTGTTCAGACTCGCATGTGTCTAAGGCCCAACTAACTCGACTGTGATCAGAGGACATCTGAGGCAGAAACAGGCCTGAGAATGGAGGAAGAATGGAAAGGAGCCAGGTGCTAGGGCACATAACTGCAATCCCAGCTACTCGGGAGGCTGAGGCAGGAAGATCACAAGTTCAAGGCCAGCCTGGGCAACTTAGCAAACTGCCTCAAGAGGGGGATGGGAGTGGGCAGAGAAGTGTGCTGCTGGGCACCTCTGGGTGGGCTCTCCCACAGGGCAGGGAGGACTGGACCTGCTCAGTGTGGCCCCAGGGCAGTGGAGGAGCAGGAGGTGAAATGAACAGGTTAACAGGTAGGGACAGAATCAGACAGATTCCCTGAAAAACGTTAAATACATGTGAGCAGCACTCTCTCGGAAGGCGAAGAGCTAATGGAAGGGGGCGTCTGGGTGCAGGGCCCCTGAGCGCTGGCCCGGCCTAAGGCGTCTGCCCTGCCTGCCCCCCCAGCCTCAACACCAAACTGCTTCTCCTCCACCCTGCCACTGCCGGAACCGCTCTTGCCTCTGCCTTCATTTCGCTCATCTTTAGAAAACTTTCCTGTCCTCACTCGCCCACCAACCCCCTTCTCCCCTCTCCCCGAAGCCCCAGTGCCCACCCGGGCCCCTCCCTGCCCATCCACGCGCTTTACCTGTGTGGCTGCCGCCGGTCCCTTGGCCTAGCTCTGCCTGGCTCATGTCCTCTCATCTGCACAGCTCACCACACCTGGCCTCCAGCCCCCCTGCCCTGATGTAGACGGTCCTGGGCTGGAACCACCAGAGCCAGGGTGTTAGCCTGTCCTGGCCCAGACCACCAGAGCCAGGGTGTTAGCCTCCCACCCAGTTTGCATTTGAGAGTCAGGTCTCTAAAGTTGATTTTGCTGACCACAATTTTGTCCAAAGAGATGTCCACAGAGCGCCATGTGGGCCAAGTCCACAAAGGGCTGGATCTTTGACCTTTGGGCTATTTTCTTCTTGACCATAGTGGATGTCCCTTTGTGGT